ATTGAATTTATTTAATACACGAGTTTCACAATTTGAGTTGAATTACTGAAATAAATGAACTTTTCCATGACATTCTAATTTATTGAGATGCACCTGTATATATATATATTTTTTTTTTTTTATTCCACGGCAATTGTGAGACGTAAACTCAGAATTCTGAAAAAAGGTCCCAATTCTGAGTTTATATTCTAGAATTGCGAGATATAAACTTGATGAAAAAAATAGATGAAAAGTTCCAATTGTAAGATGGGAACACACAATTGGAATTTTTTATCCTGTGGCAGGGGACAGCAGAGAGAGCCGAGCCCCGAGGGTCTTTGCCTTATTGAGTGACAGCATCGTCTTCCTCATCTTGCGGCTGTGACGAATGGGAACATCGGACATAAACTCAACCCCACCGGCGACGACGGCATCACACTGACCGGCAGCAATCAAACCAACAGCTAGAAAACAAATTAACAATCAATAGTTCAGTCCATTAACTATCTTCTGTTCAGTGCCTTCTGCTGAAGAATGTTCAAGTATAATTCCATGTTAATGTGTTAATGTGCACTAAGGGAAAGTGATTAGCTGTACAGAAGGCTGTGTTTGCATATATATATATATATATATATATATATCTATATATATATATATATATGTGATGTATTCAATAACCACCATCATCATAAAATATGTGTTCGGTACCTGTGGTCATTGCTTGATTGGAGGAAATACACGCCATAGTCACAGTGTGAGCAGGAGTCTTATCTGAGAATCCAGCACCAAGTGCTGCCTACAAAAAACATAAAAAAATAATTATTTCCAAGTTAACATCATAAATAATTTTATAATAAAAAACCATGTAGCAAATGCAACGCTTCTAAGAAATGGTCCTTTCACTAATGATGGGACCAGAGTTATTATAGTTAACTGAAAAAAACACTTCAGTTACATTAAATAAAATAAACCTTAAATGAAACGAAAAAAATATATAAAACATTTTTTTAGTTAGTTAAGGCATCATTTCTTTTTTTCCGTCTAATTTGATGTACTAACTTAACTAAAACATATTTTTAGACATATTTGAAGAAAAGAAAAACTCAAAAATGCAAAAAATTTAAATAAAATAAAATGAAAACTGCAAAATATAAAAATAAGAACCAATTCAAAATATTTATAAAAACTATAAATGTTTTTTTCACAAATATACAATTGCATAGGAAAAACAAAATTAAAAAATATATTTACAAAAACAGAAATGGATATCCATCTCATAAAATAATGCACATAATTCATAGTTTGATTTCAATGTGTGATTTAAATGTTTCAGTGTCAAGTCTGATGTGAACCAATGTGAATATATAAAGTGCAGTACAATGCAAAATCATTTTCGTGGCCACAAAAAGATAATTACGACAAAAATCACAGGAACAGTAAAGTCCCTTTTAAATATTCACATATTTAAACTTTTAATTACATTTTGAATTTATGCTGTGAATGAGTCTGCCTTGTTTCGATGCATAGTATGTGCTGACAACATCCACACATTAAGAAAAAAATCCCTTGCATTAAATTGAACTGATAGACAGCTGTGGAAAAAGGTTATTTCAACATCCTTCTGTACCTAATTTACAACCAACACCGTCACTGCAGTAATGCTATGCGGTCAGATGAAATCTCTATGCAGATGCCTGACCTCTCATTGGTCAGCATGTTTCTAAACTGCAGCCAATCATTATACACAGATCACACAAACTAAAAATAGCTTCAACATCCAAATTCTATTTTAGAAAACATCACAGACTAGAGGACAGACTGACCTCTCTGGCCACATTACTGGTCTTCACTTCCTGAATAACAGTTCCATACACAATATAATCAACAGCATCTTTAGGGAGACCGGTTCTCTTCAGCAGACCTCTGATAAAAACACAGACAGACAGTTAGTCCTGAGCATTACAGTGACGAGTGAATCTTTGTGTGTGTGTGTATGTGATTGTGTGGTGACTTACTGTAATGCAGCTCTGGCCAGATCGTGGGGCATCAGATCAGCATATCTAATAACAAAGATAGAGAGAGCACAGACACAAAGAAAGATTTCTTCGCAAGGCAGCACTGCATTTATATTCCTAAAACTTTCTGGGTAGAGTTTGTCCTAAATCTGCAATTAATTCAAAACTTTCATTTGTAAATCATTTCAGAGTAACGCGTGCCAAAGAGTTTGGGATTTTGTAACCTTAAATATGAAAATGTCCTTTTGTCTCAATGTTTTGCTGTTTGGCATTTACTAACAGGTAAAAAAAACTGAAGCAAACAGGTTTTTATGAAGTGAAAAGCTGTGCGTTTATAAGAAACAAACCCATTATTAAGGCATTTTAACTTCAAATCATTGCTTCTGGCTAAAATATCAAATAGGCCTATCAGCATAATCCATAATAATGCTTCCTCCAGTGAAAAAGTCCATCCACTGTTGTCACATCAAAATTCACCCACATATTTGTTTACAACTAGTTTGGACTGTTTTTACTTGAAAACGATGCTTGATCTCTGCATACTTCTCACTTGATTCAGATAAGATGAATTTTCACTGGAAAAAAAAGCAATATTATAGAAAGAGGACTCGTATTTTAGCCGTAAGCAACAATTTGAAGTTAATAAAAAAAAATGTCTTGATGGATTTGTTTCTTCCAAGCATGCAGCTTTTCACTTTGCAAGGTTTAACTGATGGACTGGAGTGGTGTGGATTATTGTGATGTTTTTATCAGCTGTTTGGACTCTCATTCTGACGGCACCCATTCACTGCAGAGGATCCATTGGTGAGCAATGGATAATTTCTCCAAATCTGATGAAGAAACAAACTCATCTACATCTTGGATGGCCTGAGGGTGAGGGACATTTCCAGCAAATTTTAATTTCTGAGTGAACTATTCCTTTAAACTTCAGTTGTCACGTCCATTTGAAGAAACAAACTCATCTACATCTTGGATGGCCTGAGAGTGAGGGACATTTCCAGCAAATTTTAATTTCTGAGTGAACTATTCCTTTAAACTTCAGTTGTCACGTCCATAAACAAACATTAAAAAAAGTCTTTACTTGCACCAAGTGAAGAGATGCAGTATTGACTTGTAGCACCTCTGTTGTCCTTCAGATCTGAAGATGAAGTGTTGCCACTAGTGTCTAGTTGTAAGTACAGACTTCACACACAAAGCAAGTTTTATTATTTATAGGGTATTATCAATGAAATCAATCTTTATAAGGGGGTAAACACTCTCTCTGTTGTGTAAATAATCTCCTCAAGCTAATTTCAGTCAGGACGAGATCGGGCAGCCCATCATGGACGTGGTGCTGGAAGCTGGTGATCTGCTGATCTTTCAGCTTTTCACTTTGCAAGGTTTAACTGATGGACTGGAGTGGTGTGGATTATTGTGATGTTTTTATCAGCTGTTTGGAATCTCATTCTGACGGCACCCATTCACTGCAGAGGATCCATTGGTGAGCAAGTGATAGAGTGCTACATTTCTCCAAATCTGTCACCATGAAGAAACAAACTCATCTACATCTTGGATGGCCTGAGAGTAAATTCTCAGCATATTTGGGTGAACTATTCCTTTAATCTCCTTTCTGCACCCTACAAACTATTGTGTTATTTAAACAATTGCTTTTGTTGCAATTCACAAAGTCTGATGTGAATTTCACATAAGCACTTGTCAGGCCACTTCTTCTCTGACTTCATGCTCATCTGAATCCCAAACACATTCTCACTTACGTCGTGCCAGACAGGAGGAAAGGTGTTCGGACGCCATCAACCAGAACGACGTTCTTCACTCCTGATTTGGCCAGAGTTTTCTTGCTCTTTGCTGTGTGATTACAAAACACAACAGAAAGGACAAGATCAACAAACATTATTTACAGTTGTATTGGGAAAATGGAATGTGCATTTTCCTTTTTTTACTCCAAATCAACATCGAATGTATTTCTTTATTTTATTTAGTATGAGGACCTTTGCAGAATATAGCAAAATGGGTAATAACTGGACTGATTACTGGTAAGCATTACACCGGACACATTACCTTGAGCTTGCAGATGAACAGATGTGCTGAGAGAACGAGCAGCTAAACAGAAAGAGAATGCAGTTAGTAATACCGTTCTAATAAGTGATAATGACATTAAACGCTCAGCAATCTGCATAACGTGAAGTGTTCTTTAGCTCTGCTTAGACCCAGGACGTCTTACCAAACTGAGCAGCCTGCACGGATGTCAATGGGCTGCTCCTCAGTGAAGTCAACAACATAGATGCCATCTTTGATTATCTGGAAGACTTGAACCAAAAGTATGAATGATTATTATTCAAAACCATCAATCATTTCTCTGTCTAACAAAGCAGGTGCACTCATAATCTGGATGACAATACAAAGGAATAAAGTAAAGGAATAATTGTTTTAGTTTCCATTCATAAGATAAATAAAGATCAGCGAAAATAAAACTTGGCAGAAATTAGTTAAGCATAACAAAGGAATGTTTTATCGTCCTACTGAATGTAAGTGTTGTATAATACAATATATTTACATTTGACTGATTTATATTTGATTTATATATTTATATTTGATCTGGGGTGTATGAGTGGCCTTCAAAAGTGTTAAACATTAAGTAACAAAATATCAAAACATGTGATGTGCACTCAAATGCTGCAGGATATTTTCTCTTCACACTTGAGTCCCAATATATTTGAATCAGCAGTTTTGGTGATTTTTAGTGGATGTACCAAGTAGGGCTGGACAATAATTCAATATCAATATGTATCGCGATATATTTTTTTTCAATAACGGTGATATGGTTTTTAAACACATTTCCGATATTTCGATATAGCCTACATTACCATACACTGATTTATTTGTGGCGTTTGACTTCGTTGAATAAACATGAGCACTGCACGTTTTAAAATCAAAACTTGTCGCGGGTGTTTTATATTAATGTATCTCTAAAGGGAAAGGACTATCTTCAGAAAC